ACTATTCTACTATTCCTCAATGCAGTACGTACGATAAGAGCTTGAAGGGACAGGCACCCTCATGTCAGTGCATGCTTCAAGGAAAGGAAGTTTTCATGGGAGATAAATCTGATCACATGATAGCAGCCGATGATAAAAATCTCTTTTTTAAAAGAAAGCAACCTAACAAGACAAAACCACTCCCCCGGGAAAAAGGGAAAAAAGCCCACCTCTAAACCTAAAACTTCTTTTTTCTGGTAGGAGACCAGATGGGATCCTTGGACATCATGAAACACTACAGCTGGAAGCTGAACAGTTCATCTATACCCCCAACCCCCCGCATGTAGATACTGGAGATGAGAAAGCCTCTTGTTTGCTGTCTGAAGCAGGTGTGGTTGGACTAAATGGGGAGAAGATGTCCAGCTGGAAGAACCCATCAACCAGCTGCCCAGGGCAGTCTGCTTAGATAAATACCACCTGTTACTAAACAGCCAGAGAAAAATTAGTCATATCCCAGGAACCTGCTGATTCCCTCTATTATGCTGAGGCTTTTGTGTCTTTTGACATCCCAAATCCCATGTGTCTCAGTAGGATGGTCATTTTCACTACACTTAATTTGATTCTCTACAATGGCAGAGGCTTTTGAAGCATTAGGTTAAAGTATTTCCTGGGGGCTGGGAGCACACACATGAGAGAATAATAAACACATAGAAGCAGGGAAATGATTCCAAAAGGTACCTTTTAACTCAACAATCTAAGTGCCCGATGGAGTCTGTCCACTTGGAAGGACGGGGCATGGCCCCGTATTTTTCACCCTGTTCCCTCTCATTGCTCCTGGCTGGACCATCCCTCTCTTGAGCACTGACTGACTAAATACACACTCACACCTGTGTTCATGCTGTTCCCACACCTGAAAGGTCTTCTCCTGAACTTTCCAAATCCCTCTCTTCAAGACCCAAATGGAATCCTGCTTCTCCTGGAGTGTTCCTTAAAAATTGTAGCCCAAAACAATTGTCTCTTTGCTGCAGACAGTCCTCATGGTACATTTTGTCACTATAATCTGTTGCTTTCTCCTCTTGTCCCAAGTAAACCTCACCCCCCAACAAGATTCTGTGAGCTTAAAGCCCGCCCCTCTGAGGCCTAGCCCCCTCATGCAACACAAAGTTCAGCCTAGAGCAACCCCATAAATGCATTCTCAACCGAAATAACACTGACCTCAAAGTTATTTTAGGATGACAGACAAAATGCTAGGTCTAAACTCGAGATCCCACGGGAGAAAGGCCTTTACTGATTTTCACCTTAAAGCTACGCGAAGTCAATGGACATGTAACCAGAAGGCTAGGGACTGAATCTCGGTTTTCCTAGTTATTAACTTTAAGATATTAACTATTAATATTAATGATATCAGTTTCCTCACCTGTAAAATGGAACTCATAATGTCTAAGTCAGGGTTTCTATTGGAACGCTCCCATAAGGCAGCCTACAATTATCGCAGTTTTGTGCATTACCAAAACCATGCATTAGTGGCTCTTTAGTAAACTGCACAATGCCTTCAACATCAAACTGATGTGAACAAAATGACTTATTATCCAAGACTGACTTTTTAGGCTTCACAAACTTGGCTGATTATCAGAATCAGCCGAAGACCTTGTTAAACCAGATCTCTGCATCTCCGTTTTGGAGATTCTCATTGTGGAGGCCTGGGTGCGCTCAAGTGAATTTAACAATTAGCCAGGTGTAGGGACTACTGCATAAAATCATTTTGTCCACGTTTGCTTTTCCCAGTATGTGACTAATGAAAACTTATTGGGATTATGAGCTTTTACAAATATATTTTAAACGGTAAGAAACCAATTGATAATGACCTTTGGTGCCATTCAACTTAAAAATCTCCTAAGTTTTTCTTATAATTAAAATCTATATAGCCACACACACATGCAGGAGGTTAATGTGTGTGTGTGTGTATTTCCTGGAGGTATGTGCTGTAATTACCCAGTATTCCGGAACCTCTCATATATCAATTTATCTCTGTAATCTGATCATTTGCTGCAGTCAGGGTATGTCCCATTTCTATTCCTCCACAAAGTTCACTCGTGTTTGTAAAATAACTACTCAAACTAAGAAATAAGACCGTACATTTCAAAAAGGGAAAGAAAAGTAACATACCAAGGAAAAAGACAAAATTCTAAGCATGTGAAATTTAGTTTTCAAAGAAGCAATTCTGGGCACTTTCCTACCCAAAAATCTGCCGGCATCCAGCAGCCTTGAGCAAAGAATACAGGCACTCCTAAGAAAGCCCTCAGTCAGAGGCATTTAGTTCCTCAGCTAGACAGAGGTCAAGGCAATCAACAGTAGTTTAGACTCAAGGAAGAAAACCAGCTCAATTAATGTGACAGACACAGGAAGAGTCATCCCATTTAGGAACAACAAAAGTTTGAGAAGAATCTGCTTGCTGAGAGTTGGCCCATACACGCAGATAAATAACTGCCTCGTCCATCCCTTTCAAATGTATCCTGTAAATTCACCAGATGTACAAGCATTGTATTGCACACAAGTTCCCTGCAGAGAGTTCCTGAAAATTGACTCAATCTCTCTCTAAAAATCATGCCAGACATGGCTTCTGGTGCAGAGGAAACCGAGCATCCCTTTGCCTGGGCCCCCCAGTGTAAGGGAAGCCACTAACTCTAACAGGAGCAGATTGTTTCAACTTAATTGAATGAAGTAAACTTGGGGAAATACCTGACATGGCCAACTTGACCTCTGCTAAGCCTTTTGAACTTCAATCACTGTCCTCCAACACAAAGCCTTCTATTGGACTTCCAGCTATTTCCCCCGCTTACACAGGTAGCTTATCTTAAGGCATCCATGGTCTCAGTTATCATTTCTGACCTGATTGTGAGACAAGTATTATTTCCATGCTGGGTTTTATGACTAAGCCTGCAGAGGTATTTGCTGGTTTGATTGAGGACAGAGCATCTCATTTCAGTTTCTTATCCACCAAGATCCAATAACTTATTTTAAAGAAAAAAAAAGTTTTAATTTATGAGAACACACAGGGAAAAGACTCCAATAAATTAACACTAGTCAAAAACTGTCCAAGATCATAATCTTTGGTGTTTTGTATAGATTTCAAAGTGAAAAATACAATTTCTAACGTGGGGCGATAAACATGAAGATTGTTCCCAATAACAAAGTACAGATGGGAAAAACACAAAAACTGTCTGAATCTCTCGAACAAGCAGAATTATTTATTCCTCATCTAGTTTCCTTACAGAAGTAGCAAAAATGGAGGCTAATGTCAGAAACATTTTGAATTCATTACCCATCCTGGCAAATAAAAGGTGTTTTAAATCTGAGACTAAAGATGTGAATAGTAGTTATTTTAAGTGGTATTTAGTCCTAACTAAGCATCTATTTTTCTTATTCTTGACTCTAGAGTACATCTATCTTTTAGAATTATACCAGAAAAAATTTAAGCATATGAAACATTCAGAATCAACCAGTTCTTTATTGCAACGTAAAACAAAATACAATTTGCCCTCAGCAAATTGTCAGTGATTTAAGAGACTGCTAAGAGCCAGCTCCAGCAAACATGGGGAAAGTATACAAATACAAATACACAAATACAAATCATGGGGAAAATATACAAATTTTGTGGAAGGTAATTTGGTTGACAATATCTATTGAAATTCGAAACGTGCATACCTGGCAAGGCTATTTATTGAAAAATTGTTTAAATAGCAAAAAGAAGAAAAAAAACTAAACCGAGGGAAAAATTAAAATTAAAAAATTAAATAGGGGAATAGTTCAATAGCAACAATACAGACATTAAAATGTTAAAAAAAATCCTGCATGAAGTGACCTAGAAAAATGTTTATAGTGTAGTTAATAAAACTGATTCCAGATAAGCATATTTAATAATATTCTAATTTAGGGTATCCAATGTACAAATGCATATAAAGTATAAACCTAGGAAAAAGGAAGACTATATATCAAATAGCTAGCTGATAATTTTTAAACCTGAGAGGAGAAAATGCATGGATGGAAGGAGTCTTTAGCTCCTTATTTAATAAAAGCCAACATAGACAAAAGGTGAATTCTATTTATTTTGATTTTGCAGTGTATTCCAAAATATGTTTAAACTCTAAAACTGTTTAGAAACCAGAAACTTATATTTAAATAAATATTAAAAGAAGTCAATATTCAGTCTCATCATCTGCAGAAATAAAACATCTGTGAAATAACCTCTTAATTTCAGAAGAACTACGTTTGTTAAAATGAGTTACATCAACTTGGACTCTTTTCCATTATCATCTCTTATAGCTGATAGCCAGTCAGTCTAAATATAATAGACATGGATATTTTATTTCTTTCTGTATATTTGAAAAGTAAATTTGTTGATGGAATACACATATTGCTTGTGTTATAAATTCACATGGCAATTGCAAGGGTTGCCTCAAGAAGCTTTATTATGTTGTTGGGTCCAATGAATGGGAATTATCTTCTAAATGAAACTGTGGAGGACTAAGTGATGGAATATTATCATGTCCCCAATAAGTATTTTGATTATGAGTTGTTTCATTTTGCTTCACACACAAAAAAAAAACAACCTACTCACCGATTCAGAGCCTACTGAAAGAAAAGAGATTATCGCACAGTAAGTTTTTGTTCCTATTTTCCAAAGCCACACACCTTATTTCTAAAGTTGCCCAAATTTCTTATCAAACCAAAAATGAACATTAGCCAAGCATACAAGTCTCCACAGCCTCGTAAGTGTCATAGAGGGATGTTAGTATTGGCAAGAAAAGTGCATGAAATCTGTTTCTTCTGCCACAAGTGCCTGGAATTTCCTGGCATTCCATTTCATCAGAGTATCAGCTGAACAGTATAGCTCAGCAATGGCCCAGCAGGCAAGAGTCTGAGGAGTTCATGTTTATTACACCATCCACACAATTAAGGGACTCTATAACGCTAATGTCGTTTTTTACATAACAGAAAAATGTGCAAATTAATATGCTTACCAAATCTTCCTTCTCCTTTTTCCCCTTCACTCTTTTGGACACCGCTGCTTTCCACGGCCTTGGAAAATCTGTTTAACTTTTCCGAGCCTTGGTTTCTCATCTGCATGATGGGGGTAATAGTATGACCATAAAGGTTTACTGTGAAAACCAAGTGACTATGTTGCTTAGAACAGTGCATAGCTTAAAATAGCTGCTCCAAAAATAGTAGTTTCTTGTTGTAATCCATAGATATTAATGGTAGCAACAGCCAAGAGCAGTACTCTGCTAGGGCAGTAAATCTTAATCTCTGGAGAGTAAAAAAATCAAATATAAACCTTCAGAATGAAGATTTAGGGGCCTCACCCCCAAAGATTCTGACTCATTCCATCTGGGAGTAGGCATGGTCATTGGGAATCTTCGTTTTTCACAAGCACCCCAAGTGATTGTGACAAGAAGCTGGAGACAGGAGGAACAGCAGAGGGCCTTGGGAAGCAGCAGAGGTAAGAAGAATAGAATCCATGACCCTTTCCTGAAAGGTCTTCACTCTTTACTAACATTAACTGTTTTCTCCTGACTCTGAGACCATGAAATCTTTTCCTAAATCTAATTTATATTTATGTCATGCCAGAAAAAAAAAAAAAGAATCAGAATGGGTCTCCCACTTCATCTCCACTGACTCTGACTACATTTCCTCCCAAATGTAACAGCACATTCCTCTATGCCCTAAATGCCCTTCATGCTCCATTAGGTTTTGTTCCTTTGGATTCCTGTTAGTGTTGGTTCCTGCCGACACTAGTGGTATAGGATTGCAAGATTAAGATGACTGCTGTAGACCTGCATATTTAATTCCTATGTATTGATCCCCCAGTCTAAAAGTTTTCACAGCTCCATCGGAACCTGGGATTTTCACATCAGCCCCTATGTCCTCCATGTCAACTTCCCCCACGCAGCATCCTATCTCAGGTCTACCTCTCCTGCTGAACAGTGGACCTAATGAATATCTTGCTCTTGGGCAGAAGGTGGACACACGTTTCATGGGGCCTAAAGCCTCTCCTATTGGGGGGCACTCTTAAAGACAAAGAATACAAAAAAAAAATTTCACTTTTCACAAAAAAAAACATATCATCATGTGAGTTCAAGGCCAGGTCCCCTCTAAGATCCTTAGAATTGTTATAAATTGTGTCCTATAGCCCCAATTCATATGTTAAAGCCCTAATCCCCAATGTGACTATATTTGAAGATGGGGCCTTTTAAGGGATAATTAAGGTTTGATGAGGTCATAAGGGTAGTGCCCTGATCCAATAGAACTAGTGTCCTTCTAAGAATAGACAGAGAAACTAGGGATGTATATGTACAGAAAAAAAGGCCATGTGAGGATACAGAGGAAAGGTGGCCATTTACAAGCCAGGGACAGGGGCCTCAGGAGAAACCAGCCCCGCAGACACCTGGATCTTGGATTTCCACCCTCCCAAACTGTGAGAAAATAAATTTCTGTTAAGCCACCTGTATGAGGAATTTTGTTATGGTGACCCTAGTAGACTTCTACAGAAGTAGTCCATGCAATTGAGAGGCCCTGAAGCTCTTCCTGTATCCTTGTCTCCTACCAGGCAAACAATTTCACATTACCATTACAGCAGTTCATTGTGCTGAACACACCCATGCTTAAAAATTCAGTTCAAATATTATGCTCTTCTCTAATCTCTATACATTAAATATATCCTACCCCATATCCTATCCACAGGTGTCTGCACCTCTTTTGTTGGTTTTATTTAATTCTCTTATATTGTCATCAGTCATTATTCATATTATACTATCATATTCATGCTATTATTCATATTCATTAATATTTACATTAATTTGTAAGATAACATTCATATTTTAATCATTTAAATTCCCCGTGGGAAGAAACCATGTCTAATTCTATGCCTAATACAATATTTGCATATAGGAAGCCATCAACAAATGTTTATTTATTTGTTTTTTATTTATTTAAGATTTTATTTATGTATTTGAGAGGGAGAGCACAAGCAGGGGGGAGGGGCAGAGGGAGAGAGAGAAGCAGACTCCCAGCTAAGCAGAGAGCCCAATGCCAGTCTCGATCCCAGGACCTTGAGGTCATGACCTGAGCTGAAGGCAGACACTTAACCGACTGAGCCACCCAGCTGCCCCTATTTGCTTTTTAGAGAGGGAGAGAGAAAGAGGGGGAGGGGAGGAGCTGAGGGAGAGAGAGAGAGAGAAAATATTAAGCATGCTCCACACCCAGCACAGAGCCCAACACTGGGCTTGATCTCACAACCCTGATGAGATCATGACCTGAGCTAAAATCAAGAGTCAGACCCTTAACCGACTGAACCACTCAGGTGCCCCAACAAATGTTTATTAAATTGACTGATAGTTGTAAAGAGCCTTGAGGTCTTTAGCAAATGGAATATGACAGTTAATTATCTATCTACCTAGCTGCCTATAGAGAATATACATAAAATCAAAGAATTTTACAATTAAAAAGATCTTTGAGGCCATCTATTACCAGTTTCTTATTTTACCAATTTACCAAGCATCACTCAGTGAGTTAATATCAGATCCATGACTAAAACAGAAGTCTTGTGAATTCTAGAGTTCATCCCACCTAGCAATCTGGACAGTCATGCAGACTTGATCAAAAGCCATAGATGGACAGACACATCCGGGTATTTTAGAATCATCTAAAGAACACTGTGCTGATACAGAGCCACCTTCAGATTATGATTTGGCTTCCACTGGAGATCTTCCTAGAAGTATAGAATACACAGATCTTATCAACATGAGCACTAAACTGTAGTTTATTGTTTTATTTCTCATTGTAGTTAAATATACTTAAACTTGAAGCAGATTGCGAACTTCTTGGAAATAGTTCAACTACTGTGGATATTTATTTAAACTCAAGAAAAAGAATTTCTCTCACTCCTAATTCAAACACAGTGAAGTCTTCTGCCCAGACTAATTAGCGTACATCCAGTCAAACTCGGAACCAACTGGCTCAGGTCAGAGTGAATACTTGATTTAGCTTCTGGGTTTAAACTCTTCACTTCTTCACCAGAAAGGTGAAAAAGGCTCTAACAGTGATGCTACTTGGAACATGAACTACAACATTCTGAACCATATACCACCCGTCAGTTCCTCGCATGCTGGTCTCTGAATATAAGCAGTGACGTGACGACAGCCATTAGATAGACATTCCTAAAAATGAAGTGCTGACGAGAGAGGATTTACATCCCATTACCAATCCCCTGAGCCAGGCCATGGACCTTTAACTAGACATTTTATCATGTTGCTTGCCGCTCTCTGAATTTTCTCTAATTTGTCTCTTTTTCAACATGTGGTATCCCAAACTAAAAGCAGTTGAAATATGTTCAGGCAAGACTAGTGCCAAGTCACTGGAAAAAAAATTTTTTTTTTCTGGTTTAGAACATAATGCTTCCATTAATGCAGACTGATATCACTTTGAAAGGATTTGAGGGATCTTTTCTTTTTTAACAAATCATGCTGTTTTGTTGACCTTAATAGCTCTCAAATTCTACTAAGTGTTGGAGAGGCAACCTATAGCTCAAATGCCAAAGTGGTAGATAATTTGGAGAGAGATGAAGTTGGCCTTCAGTAGTCATTAAGTCCTTCCATTTGTCCCCTCCTCCAAGCGCTCCTCAGTTGGTTCACCATCCTCCTTCCCCACAATTCAGCCAGCCCATCTCAATGGTACATCACCTCATCTTAACTAGTGTTAAAAGTTAAAGTCTTAGGGACTCCTGGGAGGCTCAGTCAGTTAAGTGTCTGCCTTCGGCTCGGGTCATGATCCCAGGGTCCTGGGATCGAGTCCCACATCAGGCTCCCTGCTTAGCGGAGAGTCTGCCTCTCCCTCTGCCTGCTGCTCCCCCTGCTTGTTCTCTCTCTCCTCTCTGTCAAATAAATAAGTAAAATCTTAAAAAAAAAAAAATTAAAGTCTTAGTAGATCCAGGCTCACATTCTCCAGCTCCATCCCCCCACACAACTTTCAGTGACTAACTTCTAGGTTTCTACATTTTTAAAGTGATTCTCAAGAATAGAAAAGAATTTAAAACCCCAAGCAATGAAGTCACTCTATCTACTGTGAGATCACATTTTACTTGGGAGTTGGGTTCTAAAGTTAATGTGATATACAAAAGTCAAGCCCGGTGAAAATTACCATTGGAAATCTTAAGAAGAAGGGGATTGTGGTAGGCAGAATTCTAAAGGTGGCTTCCTGGGATTCCCATCCTGGTTATTCAATCAGACTCTAATCTAAGTACTACTGTGAAGGGATTTTGCAGATGCAAATTCCCTAGTCAGTTGGCCTTAAAATAAAATACATGGCAGATCAACCGGTGGGCCTGACCCAATCGAGTGAGCCCTTTAAAAGCAGAGTGTTTTCCCAGGCTGGTAGCAGAAGGAGCGATCAGAGCGATTCAATGCACTGAAAGAAATCAATAAGCCATTTGCTGGCTTGCAGATGAAAGGCGCCATGTGGAAAGACCAGAGATTGGCCACTAGCTGCTGAGAGTGACCCCTGGCCAATAGCCAGCCCCAGCAAACAAGAGCCTTAGACCTATAGCCATGAAAAACTAAATGGGCCTATAAGCAGATTTGTCCCAAGTCTCCAGGTAAGAGCCTAGCCCTGCCAACACCTTCATTTCAGTCTTTTGAGATTCTAACCAGAAACTCAAAGTATCCCAGACTTTTGACCCAAAGAACTGTGAGGTGATAAAAGGGCAAGTAAACTGCTAAGTTTGTGGTAATCTGGCATACAGAAATAGAAAACTAATACCACTCAATATAGTAGCATGAGGCTATTTCATTGAAATGAATTTTTAGTTTAAATTTCTCTGTCACACAAGCCACATGTCAAGTACTCCATAGCCACATGTTCCTACTTGCTACCATACTGGACTCTACAAACGAAAGAACTTTTCCTTCATCACCAAAAGGTCTATTGGACAGTACTGCTCTGGAAGATCCAAAAGAACCAGTTTTCTTACAGCTTTGGCCCAGATGACTATTTCTTTTGTTGAGCAGCAAATGATATAATAGGGTTGAACTAAAGGACCGTGTGGTTAAGTAAAATATATATCTTTAATACTATAATCATACCCAGCCCAGTGAGATGTT